CTTAGAAATGAACTTCAGCTAGAGCACAGCCGAGCAACCAATCAAGAACAACGAGCTAATGACTTGGAACAAATTATGGAGAGTGTGAAATCCAAAATTGGTGAATTGGAGGATGAATCACTAAATAGGGCTTGCCAGCAACAGAATAAAATAAAAGATCTTCAAAAGGAGCAGAAAACTTTACAGGTACTGAGTTATGAATTCCTAGATGATGGTTAGTTAGTACTAAAACAGCTCATTATGGTCCCAGGTGACTTCCATGTTGTTTGATTCAGTGGTTTTTACCTTTTTTGGCCTATCACTGCTACCTTGAAATTTTCTTCACTTGATTTCCAGAATGTCCTCTTTGTTTCCCTCTGACCTCACTGATCATTCTCTAATTTCTTTTGCTGTTTTTTTCCCCTCATCTTCCTAGCCTCTTAGTGAGACAGTGCTCAAATTGGAATTCCCCAGTGCTCAGTCTTTGGATCTTTTCTCTTTCCTATATACTTTGATTCCCTTGGTAATCTCAATCTAATATAGGATCCAAAATTTATATCTGTAGCCCTGTCCTCTCCCCGAATTCCAGACTCATATCCAGTTGCCTACTTGATATCTCTACTGGATATCTATTAGGCATCTACAACTTTATTTATTTACTTTTTTGAGTCAGCGTCTGGCTCTGTCACCCAGGTTGGAGTGCAGTGGCGCAATCACGGCCCAGTGCAACCTCTGCCCCCTGCGCTCAGGTGATCCTTCCACCTCAGCCTCTGGAGTAGCTGGGACTACAGGCACATGCCACCATGCCTGGCTAATTTTTATATTTTTTATAGAGACAGGCTTTTACCATGTTACCTAGGCTGGTCTCAAACTCCTGAGCTCAAGCGATGCGCCTGCCTCGGCCTCCCAAAGTGCTGGGATTACAGGTGTGGGGCACTGCACCTGGCTGGCATCTACAACTTTTTATGTCTAAAACAGAAATGGCAATTTTATGACGTTAAATAATTAACTTTCTAATTTTAAAAACTTAAAACTTGGGTGTTTATTGTGATTAAAGGAAATGAATCTTGTGCTGGTAACTAATGTTTAGCTGTGTGAGATGTTTCTGATCTTTACCAACATTATATCATTATAAACATTAAGTTCTTATTTTAGTGGTTTTGCTGACACAACACTATATATACCTTTGCATATGTGAGTTCAGGCTATCTAAAAGGGAGCAGTATTCATCAGGCAGGGTCTGGAAGTCCCCTCAGTGTATGCTGGCAGTATTGGAAGGATCAGATGAGTTAGTATAAATTCCATGGAGTCCGAGAGAATTAACCAGACATACTAGGGAGCTCTAGTATGAGGATAGAGGCAGTTGGTGCTCTGACCTTGTTTATGTGCCAGCTTGGGGCAGGCAGTACTAGAGCTGCTGATATTGATCATAGTTTCAGAGAAGACATTGTTTGACAAACTCCTCTACTATTAGAATGCAATATTTTTAGGTTGGCTTTTTTTTTTTTTTGAGACAGAGTTCAGCTCTGTCGCCCAGGCTGGAGTGCAGTGGCATGATCTAGCCTCACTGCAACCTCCGCCTCCCAGGTTCAAGCGATTCTCCTGCCTCAGCCTCCCAAGTAGCTGAGACTACAGGCATGCACCACCATGCCTGGCTAATTTTTTGTGTTTTAGTAGAGACAGAGTTTCACTATCTTGGCCAGGCTGTTCTCGAACTCCTGACTTCATGATCCACCTGCCTCAGCCTCCCAAAGTGCTGAGATTATAGGCGTGAGCCACTGCGCCCGGCCTAGGTTGGCTTTGTTAACAAGGTTGCTTTCCTCATCGATAGTATATTTATAACATCTCTCTAAAAGGAGGGGTATTTTGGAAATATTTTCTGTATGCATTGGTTTTGACCTTGCTCTTATAGGGCAAGTAGAAATCTGAAGCTCTTTAAATCATTGACTTATTGGTGTGAAAAAGCAGCCATCAGAAGCTGTAAAGGTGCTGTGCTGGGTCTTTGGCTGAGTGAACAAGTTCAGAGCAGGGAAGACCAGTGGTCTTTGTTGGGGAAGATATCTATTTATCTTTCAGAGAGGTTGAGATATAATTAATAACAAAATTAAATTATTAGAAATACAAGGCTTACAAATTTACCAGGGTTTTAAGCACTTCAAAGAACAGATACATGAGAGTTCATTGGTAAGGGGTGACTTGAATGTAATGCCATGTATTTTCTATCAAATGGTTTCATCTATCATAAATGATTTATCATGCCTTTAGCTCTTTGTTCCAGGTCCCAAAGATTTGTCCTGTAGCTTATAAATTGGTACAGAGGAGGTTTCATGTTTCAGTCACCCATAGAAGGGGAAAGGCAAATAGGATTGAGGAGTGGATACCTGGGGTTGGGGAAGGCTATCTGTCCTAATATGATCAACTGAAATTAGTTGTTTGTTTTTTTAAGTCTCTGATGGGTACTTTATAGAGTGTCAACAGAAATCACAAACCCAAGGAATTGCTGTCCCTGAATGTTGTTAGGTTGCCTCATTTCATACTAGTCAAACATCTCATTCTATTATAGAGAAGGAAAAAATATTTTTACTTCTATCCTTTCAGATTCTCAATCAGGGCTCTATAACAAAAGCCTAGCAAGTGAAAAACAAACAAGTTTATGAATATGTTTGTATCATATATACATGGGAGAAACCCATGGATGTTGGGCTCAAAGAGATTGCTAGAACTTGGACTTCTATAGCATGTTAACAACAGCCACCACCAGTAAATTTTCAGAGAAGTGGCAAGACAAAGGAAAAAGACTTTGAGTCTCTAGGGAAGCAAATTGTGGGAAGGTAAATATATCAGGGACTAATGGAAGATAAGGGCTAGTCAGTAAAGTTGGTTATGTAGAGTCCTCTAGTGCCACCTCTGGGCTAATAAGGATCCAGGGTTGTCACTGGATTAATTTCTGTACAAATTTATGTACTCCTTTAGGCTAATAAAGGAAGGGCAGAGAGCTTTTCTCGTGTTATTGTCTTAGTTGCCTTCAACTCAGAATAATCTTTATACCAAAGTGGCATGTTTTGAGGTGTCAGCTTCTATTCTTGACCATACTAATCTTTGCTTTCTTGAGAAGATGAAAGTGCCTGTGGAGAATAATTATTTCATAGTTTAAGGCACATTATTCTATTTTTGGTATACAGTTGCTTCCAATTTTAGAATGGTTTAGTTCTGCATGTTTTGTAGTTGGCAGAAAGAAAACATTGGTTTTGTATGTATATGCAAAGAGGTCAAGGAAATTTGCAAATGTTTGAGGTATATTGAAAGACTTTTAGGAAAAGACAATTCAGATGGCATGGGCTATTGATATAATTGATATTCAGTTTTTTTCATTCAGCATAATTATTTCAAGATTCACCCATGTAGTTGCACATATCCATAGTTTATTCCTTTTTATTGCTGAGAAGTACTCCATTGTATGGATATACCACAGTTTGTTTATCCATTCATCTGTTGATGGACATTTTAGTTGTTTCTAGTTTTTGGCTATTACAAAGAAAGCTCTTGTAAACTGTATGTTCAAATATTTGTGTGGACATACGCTTTCAGTTTTCTTGGGTAGATACCTAGAATTGGAATTCCTGAGTTATATGGTAAGTATACATTTAAGTTTTTTTTTTTTTTTTTAATACTTTAAGTTCTGGGGTACATGTGCAGAACGTTCAGGTTTGTTACATAAGTATACACTTGCCATGGTGGTTTGCTGCACCCATCAACCCATCATCTACATTAGGTATTTCTCCTAATGCTATCCCTCCCCTAGTCCCCCACCCCCCGACAGGCCC